CCCCAAAACCCCAAAACCCCAAAACCCCAAAACCCCTAAATCTCTCCTATCCTTGAAAACAGCCACAAAATATCATTGAGCCACTTATATTTCCTAATCTTCAAGGGGTTCAATCCAGTCCTCAGTATTAACAGTGTCGATAGAGAGTCCATAAGTCTCCTGAATCAAAGCTCGAACTTTAGATTGACTTAATCTACATCTGTGTACGTTGAGAGTCTGAATGCAGCTCTTCAGCCCAGACTCTGAGAGCCCTTTGAAAATATTTCTGAGCTTCGAAGGATATGTCTTCCAGTCACTTAAGTCGATTTGTCCACACAGTTGGAAGGACAAGTACTGGATGTTGGGCGAGGAGCAGTAGAAGGTGGGCTTTGTTGAAGTGTCGAACTTGCAGTAGTGGAAAACTAGTCTTCGGGCTTTTGTGATGCTGATGATGGACTATAAGCAGTCAGAGAAGCTGACTAAGTAATGTGGAAAGAGAGAGAAGTTCAAGGTGCTAGGATTTATTATTTTGAGGAATGATTTTTGTTTGGAAATGAACATAAGAGAATACTTACCTCAAAATCTTTCTTCTCTATGTACAAATTATTAATAAACACTTCTCTGGTAACTCTGGGAAGTACCTGCTTGAACTCATCAAAGTAAAAGCTCAACTTCGTTTGGTTGCAATTACTGTGGTCCCAGTTGTAACAAAATAGTTCAACTTGGTCAGGGAAGCAGTACTTGAAGAAGGATTTGACTGAATAGTCCTCCTTCTTGTTCTGGTCGATTTTGATTCTTTTTATGTTTGGGAGTTTGATTTTGTGAGTGACTAGCTGGGCCAAGAAGTTTCTGTCGTTTTGATAGATCATTTTTAGTTCGAGCTTAGTGTTTAGGTTAAAGGCTTTGTAGCTTCCGTAGATTTTATTTCCATATTTGTTGACAACGAAGGGAGATAAATGTGGGATGGGATTCTTTGATTAATTCTAACTCTGCTGCTTTTGATTTGAATTCTGAAATAGATGTGAATTTTAGATATTGGGTGATGAGAAGAATTGAACAGTGCAAATTTAGAGAAAACATAGGATTTCTAAATTAGTATCAAAGATGGGTATTTAGGTATTATTCTGAAAAAATGGAAGCTTTATTAGAAATGCTGATGATATTTAATTGTAGAGAATAGTTTAGACAAAAACTTTATAGAAAAATTTCTTACCTTCTTCAAGCTTATCTTTAGCCTCTTTTAGATCTTGAATTTCAGCCTTGCTTTTTTCAAAATTTCGCTTGAGAGCTTCTATCTCGGCATCTTTGTCTGCCATAAGTCTATTTTTTTCTTCATTCTAAAAATCTAGTTACTCAAGTTAAATAAAATAAAAAGGAAAAATTATGAAATAAGCTGACTTGTTGTTTGATTTCCTCAATCTGCTTCTTGAATTCTTCAGCGTCTCTTGCTCTGTCCATCTCTACTTCTTGTCTGGCTTTCTGGTCAGCCTCTTTCGTAGCAGTCTTGAGGGTGGCCTCGAATTTCTTCCTCTGTACCAAAGTTAATTTGTGTTGTTTATGAAGGATGGGTGTAAATCGGTTGTTGTCTGAGAACAAATATTACCTCTTCTCAAAGTTTGGCTGTGGAGGCAACGAACATCACTCTGTCGGAGCTGTCTTCGAGGTATTTGCTGAACACAGACTCCTTGAAGTTGGAATAAATATCACTTTTATTTGAACCTTGAATAAAATCTAGATCCATTAAATCGATTTTAAAAAGGATTTTAATGACTGCAATTCTTACAGTATTCGGAAGATGGTAATTTGGCAGTGTCAAAATTTGCCTTGTTAGGAGTGAAATTTTACAAAAATAGGACGTTATAGCTAAAATACTCAGAAACTAAAAGGACAAGCCATTCAGAAAAAGCCATTGAAAAGAAATGCTCAGGCTCAAATTTCTGAGTTTGAGAAGGGCCAAAATGTCATAAGAATTACTCAAGAATCTTCTCTTTCAGCTCGATAAACTCAAGAAACTTATCTTTGTCAATCTTGGCCAATCATTCTCTTCTGAGCTGGCCAAACTCCTGCATGAAAGCTTCCAAGTCTATATCAAAGTTGGTGACCAGGCTCGCCAGGCTCTCATCGGCCTGAGCATATTGACTCAGCTTCTTTAAGGAATTGCTAACTGGGAGGAGACAGGTCTTCAGTTGGTCAGCAGTGACAAGAGACTGGCAAGAACACTCGAAGTGGTAGTACTGCTGGTGGAGGGTGCATACCACAGTCTGATGCTCGGGACAGTACACTTCTCTTTGGGTTCTACACTTGTTGTGATGACATGCATCTCTAGAGAATAAAATTAACTTGCCTACCTTCTTCTTGCAATGACGTTGCTCATTAGCTTTACTTGTATTTAATAATACTAATTCTCCATCCAGTTGACCTTTTACGGGGTTTTGGGGTTTTGGGGTTTTGGGG